GTTGGGGCGACTGCAACAAGGAGGAAGGTGTGGCAGTGACGCGAGAGGGATGCAGGAAGGGGTAGGGAAGATAATCACCACTTGGAAATCAAGATACAACCGAAACACCAATTGGAACCCTGGGGATACAACCCTCGAAAAAAATAAGAGATGTTGGCGGCTGTCAGGATACAAAAATCATAAGTGACTCCAAACCCTAATACAATACAGATATAGGAAATGACTAGAAAGAAATGAAGGGTAATAGAAAAAAAAATACAAGGGAAACAATATTATTTCAGCCTCTCTCACGATAGATATTTTTGCAGTACTATAGCAGCTTCAGTACCTCAGTATTTTTTTTTTTTGCGGTGAGCTCTCGCATCAATCTTGTAGAGCTTAGGGGAGCTTCGACCTCATTCGTCGAAACTTCTTTCTCCTCATCATAGTGTGTCAGTTCGACGATGTTGACTTTGGCAGAAACATTATAATCTCCTGGTAAGTCAACTCTTTTGGCGTTGGCATTCCAAATCGTATCTTGATAGAATATATATTCTTCCTATTTTGGCACAATCATAATTAGAATTGTATGTGGATGAGTATCCTCATAAACCAAGCCTCAAGACATCAAATTTGTAATTGTTTTTTTTACTTTTCGTACTCATCCAAGTGTATCTGACAAACAAGTATGTAAGAAGGAATAAACCATGGGACGAGATCTATGGCAGACCGGGCTGCACTGAAGCATAATTACTCAAGAGGCCTCCTGGATCCCATTGTAGGATGTTCATTTCTATAAATCCCCTAAAGCAATTTCCAACACTATGATTCATTCTTCCTGCCTGAACAAGTGTCAATGGGTATAGTGCTGAACTGAATTTAATATCCCAATGACTCTCTAGGGTTTCTAGAAGTGGCACCAAACAATATCATCTCGAACATAGCGGACTTCCCTCATAGGGGCAACTCAGGAAATAGGTTATATATCTAAAAAGCCCGTATTTCTCTTCTCAGGGATTGCTTTGTGTCAGATATTGAGTCCTCAAACCCATGGATCTTTTTGACATCCATTACCAATCTTGCTGATGCATCTCTCAACGCCTGCAAAACTGTAGCTCGAGGCACCATAATCTCATACACTCATGAATGCATTTTATTTGAGACTCACTATACCTTCTAGAAGAGCTACTATCAACTCAATTAGAGTCTCTTTTTCGGGTTCAACTCGAATCGCTGACGTCTTTGTTTGTTTGTCAGAAGTTGAGAATCATCTCTGAAATCTTCATCGTTTCCTGAATCATCATTTTTTTTCAACTACTCCCTGATTCATGAAATCGATCATTCTCCTGGTTATGTGATCTGATTCATAATGGCTATTCCCAAATCCATGAAACTTGAAACACTTTTTGCCATGAACAGACTTTGGCATGTTGGTTGGTGCTCTTTGTTTTCCCTTTGAACTAATGTCTCCTCAGGCATGTTCAACTTGGATGTTCCCTTAAGTTTACTCTAGCTGTAAAATCTTGGGGTTGAACCCTATTTGTAAGTTGTGGTGGTCGCTCGGTGATGTAGTCTCTCCACTTTTAAAGTTAGGGTCTGAACGTCTGCTTTGTAGTGAGCTGATATGAACTGGCGTTATATCTCTCATTTCATCTTAGATTAGGTAGTAATTTTATCTTTTACTTCTCGTTGGTGCAGGTACTTCAGATTTTGTTGCCAAAATAATGCATTCTTCTTCTACTTGCTGGTGGCTAGTTTCACCAATCTGTCCAGTGGGACGTCTTGACACTCAAGCACACATTCCCAAGTGCCGCGCCACTCGATTACCTTATCCAGATCCATGTGCCCATTAAAATATGATAAATCCAAATTTATTTCAAGATTTCGATTTCTTAGATATTTTTGTGGTCATTGAGCTAGAGATTCTCAATTCCTGGAATCCTCATGATGGAAGAGGTTCACTCCATCCCTTCGATTTAGCGAGTCGTCATTGTAGCATGAGCGACTCATTCGGATTGCCTCCTCTTAAAGGTGGTAAGTCTCAGTTGTAGTTGGTGGGTTTTTCACTGTATATTCTACCTAGAAATCCCTTGGACACCTCTTTGTTGATTTCCCATAGAGGACATCGTGTCTTTTCTTCTCGATAAGGCTTCCAACGATTTTTTCCTTGTCGGCATGGCTAGATTTTGGGTATGGGTGGGTGGAAGGATACACTGTGAGGGTGATATAGGATGAGAAAGAAAAATTCTAGATGGAGATAGGTTTGGGTGTGGCGGATGCTAGATACCCTAGGATAGAACTAAGATTATGCTAGCTCTGATACCAAATGATACTTGATTTTACCCAAGTCGCATTAGGAAAAACAAATATTATTACTTGTAACAAGTAGGTGGTTACAATAAAGCACACTTAAAAAGAAAATACAACACACATGACACACAAACTAATGTTGGGGCGGATCCCGGGTGAAGGTGGTGATGGTTAGAGGGTCTGGTGAGGCAACAACAAGGTAGGGAAGGGGTTTTCAGACTATGGATGAGGAGCGACAATGATTATGGCTGGTTGGAACAACAAGTCAGCAAGGGACGGCATCCCAAACAACATCAGTTGGTTGTTTGGAGTGGCTGGACAATAGGAAACAACAAGGGGGAGGCATTGCGACAATGAAAACAAGCTGAAATGAGGAGAAACAGTTGGTCGGGTTGTTGGAACATTAGAAAACAACCAGGACAGTTGTTTCCAGTCGGCGACAACAAGCGAGAATGACGGTGGAGATGGCGTTGAAGGCATGAGACTATAGGACAATCAGAGGAGGACTGTCAAGGGGCTGCGACAGCGAGAAAGATAGCTGGACGGTGAGGAACTACCGGAAGACTGCAACGAGACTGCTGTCGAGGCGACTGTAATGAGGAGGAAGGCGTGGTAGCGAAGCGAGACTGATGCGGGAAGGGGTAGTTAAGATAATCACCACCTGGAAACCAAGATGCAACTGAAACATCACTTGGAACCCTAGGATACAACCCCCGAAGGGAAGAAGAGATGTGGGAGGCTTTCCCCATTCAAAACACATTAAAAACTAACTTCCAAACCCTAAACTAAAAAAGAATGAAGAATGAGAAATAAAATATAAAATTGGTAAACGGGATTATTTCGGTCTATCTCCCACGATGGATATTTTTGTGGTACTGTATAGTGGTATTTTTTTTTTGTGGTAAGCTGCCGGGTCAATATTATTCTCCTATAATTACCATGCTGCTAAATATATTTTTGTTCTTGATATTTTTTTTTAACCAAAATGCTTCTTCTATAATCTTTTACCGTCCCCTTTTTCTTTACAAATTTATCGAAAATATTTACTAATGAAACTACTCCAATATTACCCATGTTCTCGATATATCAGCACTATTTCTTTTTATTTAAATCATTAAGTTCTTCCAAAAGCTTTTTTTGAAGTCTCATTTAATGATTTATCCAAAAAAGTATTTTCTCTTTAATTAAGATCTTATTATAATAACTTTTAATTCATCCAACCTGGCAAGGTCTGTAGATATCTTCTCTCTGCCTTAGTTATATATGTATGTCTATTTCTCTTCCCTTAGCCTTTCTATATAAATAGTTTTTTAAATGGCACTTTTGAGGCTTTTTTAGAGTCCACCTTAGCATGGGGCGGTGTAAAATTTTTCCAGGGTTATTAGTGTGCCCTTTCGGGCATCACCTTGGATTCCTAGGGGTTGCCTTTTACGCCCTGCTGATCAAGCAGTAGTCCCATTTAACTTAAACTAAATTACTAAAGTTTTATTTATTATAAATATCTTTGTTATCTTATTATATGAAATATGATCCAAAATGCTATTTATCTTTTACTCTCTCAAATGATAAGTTCTGTCAAACTAATTCCTCTCCTACTAACACACAAAGTATGAAAGTTGTAAGCTTGACTCAGCTCCATCCTCGCATCATTTTTGGATCTCTATCTACATCCTAGAGGTTCATTGTTGACTTCCATTCCTCTTGCTGACTTGTCACGTGTTTTCAGGAAGCCCTTATTTCAGCTCACCTCCTCTTATTTCATATTTTATTATTTTCTATGTTTTTGTCTATTAGATTTTAGAGTTAGAATATGAATCATATCACCATGGAGTTTAAGTTATGGAATTTTTTTTAATAGATAAGTTTTATTCATTTTTTTATTTGTATGTGTTTAAAAATAAAATTCATGGGCCTAAAACCATGCATTGTGAATAGATAAAATACCTCTCCTTATGCGTCTACCTTTTGAACCATTTTATACAAGTCATTGAAAATTGTAGTTTTGCTTTTCTCATTATCTTTTTTTTTTTTCCAAAACGTTTTTCTCCCTTATAGTCGTCATTGTAAATCTTAATATTTACTCTTTTCCACTCCTTTAAATTTTTTTTTTTCATTTATGTAGTCTCTTAGACCATCTTACTCCACTTTGCCTTTATGTTTATCCACACATTATCTATATCGACTCTCCTAAAAATTATACAACAATTCTAATGAAACCAGCCTTCCTATAGACTTGAAGTTTGGCCCAATTATTGAATTCGAATTTACCCCTCTTAAGTAAAAATTTGCTATATAAAATATTTCTCATTTTTAATGTTCCACCATTTTATCATATACAACTGTTTTATTCAATTACTATTGTTGTACTCCAAATTTTTAAATCCATAACTCCCACTTTATGTTATGTGGTCAAATTTTGTCTTATAATCCCTCTGTATTCTTTGAAAAAAAAGAACTTTCTTTCATTTGATGTAAAGATTAACCAAGTGCTCAGCATTTGTTTGTAGTGCCAATGCGAAGTCTTATACTACTATAAAATCCAGTTATATATCAATTGATTGAAAGTTGTCATTTTTTTGCTTATAGAATTATCATGCGGTGCACAGTTACTATGCGAGCTGAAGTGCAATTTTGCATAGCTTTCACAAAGTGTTAGTTATGCCTCAAGGCATTGTGGGCACGTTCCTCATGTTTTTTTATTAAAAATGCAGTTTTTCCTAGAGCTTATGAAGGTTCCTCGTGTAGAATCCAAGTTAAGAGTATTCTCTTTCAAGATTCAATTTGGTCAACAGGTTGTATGATATGCTTGTTTTATTCATTATGCTTAGTAGTTTGCATGATTCTGATTAAATTAATTGTTTTCTTTCAGGTTTCTGATCTCCAGAACAGTTTGAACTCCATAGATTCTGCATGTGAGCAGGTATTTTTCTTCCTAATCTTATTTGATATTCTCTCTTTACCTCGTCCATAACTTATTTGTAGCTATTCATGCTTTATGATTTACCAGTTAAGGAGTTCTGTCAAGCTCAGGGAAATAATGAAGAAAATCTTGTACCTTGGAAACATGCTAAACCAAGGAACTGCTAGAGGTAACAACTTTTCATCTATTGTCACATGGTATTACTATGTTTTGACCAGAAATGAATGCACGGATTTGAGAGATAATTCATTTTAACTAATTTTAGCTATTTGGATGACCATACATATCAATCTAGAATGGTGCCGCGCGTCACACAAAAATAACAACAAAAAAAATATAACCTTTATACCACTAAGTGGGATTGGCTAGATGAATCTTTTTTTTTTTTACATTGCGTCCTATTTAGTGTCATATTTTCATTTAATTCTAATAAATTAAGATAATTTTTTATACAATATGCCCAAGTTTTCCTAGGTCTACCTCTGCCTTTCTTAACATTAGTCAAATTTAAAACATCTACTCTCCTTATCGGATCATCAAATGGTCGAGGTTTAATATGTGACCAAACCATCCAAGATCATTCTCTCTAATTTTTTCCGTCACCGGAGCTACACCAATCCTATCATAGATATATCATTTCGCCTTTGATCTCTAAGTGTAAAGCCACTCATCCACTTGACCTAATCATTCTCATCCCGACAACACTTAACTTAGTTTTATGCTTCTCTTTTAAAGACCAACATTCAACACCATAGAACATTGCATGTCTCACCACCATCTTATAAAATTTTCCTTTCAATCTAAGCGGTACTTTTCTATCACACAATAGGTCCGAAGTATTCCTCCACTAGAACCAACCAACTTGAATTCTACTAATAACATCACCATCTATATCACCATCACTTTGAACGATAGGCCCCAGATATCTAAAGCGTTCACACCTTTTAATATGTTGATCACCCATAGTTACAATTCTGTCACTAGAGCTACTACTGCTAAAATTACATTCCATGTATTCAGTTTTAGTTCTACTTAAGTGAAGGCCTTTAGACTCCAATTCTGTCACTAGAGTAAATATTTGTTCATTCGTGTCTTCTCATTTTGGCTCGAAATACTACTAATCCATCATATATATATATATATATATAGGGAAAAGGCTGCTCATTTCATAGATAATTTAATTACAAACTCTCAAGTGAGGGACCTCCAGAAGGTCACCTGAAAGCAAAAAAGGAGAGGAGAAGGTGGAGAAGAAGATACATTAGTCACCTCAGAAGCTACACCTGATCTAGAAAGCCAGTTAGCAGGGTCATTTCCTTCTCAATAAATGAATGAAGCTTTGACCTTGAGTAGGGATTTGATAAAATTAATCTTTTGCATCCATTAGGAATGCCTCCAAGAAGGGGAGCGGGCCGAACACGAATACACTTTTTGAGCTCGAAATATCAACGAGTTGCTCGTGTTTGACTCGTTTACACCCCTACACCTAATCATTCTCATCCCGACAACACTTAACTTAGTTTTATGCTTCTCTTTTAAAGGCCAACATTCAGCGCCATAGAACATTGCATGTCTCACCACCATTTTATAAAATTTTCCTTTCAATCTAAGCGGTACTTTTCTATCACAAAATAGGTCTGAAGTATTCCTCCACTTCAACCGACCAACTTGAATTCTACTAATAACATCCTCATCCATATCACCATCACTTTGAACAATAGACCCTAGATATCTAAAGTGTTCACACTTTTTAATATGTTGATCACCCATAGTTACAATTCAGTCACTAGAGCTACTACTACTAAAATTACATTCCATATATCAGTTTTAGTTCTACTTAATTGAAGGCTTTTAGACTCCAATGCAGACCTCCATAATTGAAGTAGCACAAAAATAGCGCGAGCTGAATATATATATATATATATATATATATATA